TAAAAATATAAATTATCGAAATTCATAAAAGAAGTAGATGAAAAATAATTTGTTGAAATCATAAAACAAAATTTTCCACAGGCTGCAATAATATTTCTTCCGCGACTACATAAAGCGATAAATAAATATTGTCATTCAATGAGAGCTTTCTTCTACTCGGCTATTCGAATAGGCCCATTTCTACTAATATATATTAACTTTATCTTGATTTAATTTATTCTTTATTTTTTTACAGGATATATGATGTTTTCCATATGATGTACACTTTTCTACATGATATTTTCTCTCAGTCGATGATAAATGAGTCCGTTCCCTATTAATTGCGTTAATTTCTATTTATCTGCTCGCAAGTTTAAGTGGCGGGCTTTTTCAAAACTTAACCCATTGGTCATCACTAGGTGTCACTGTTCGCAAGCACATCGATGTGGGTGTCAATTCGCGAGTGTATGTGAGCTTTCGCTCTCGTTTGTGTGAGTAGAACCGATACTGCCGGGGGTTGCCGGTGCATGCGCTCTCTCGCTTTTGAAGGGTAGGGATGAGCTTTTTCACGTTGCATTCGCGTATGCGGCGAATTTCGGGCCCTGACACCTTAACGTCCTTAATAGATATAGTCTTACACACATGGATTCGTCATCACGTTGAAGTTTCAGAATACTAAGACGAATCCGATCATCAAAGATCAAAGGAATTCGTTGGAATTTAACGAAATGCGCAAAAGCGCCCCAGAAAAGAGGGACGGTTCAATGCTCTCAATACGCGAGGAGCGTTAATTGGCCTTGCCACGAATGAAACGAGGTAACGGCCTGAGCCGATTCGCTGCTTAACAGCCACGATAAATTCCGGTGTAGCACCTCGTTATCTGATGACCGTTTTCTTGATGCCTCGTAGAAAGGCAGTCGGAAGTCCACGCGCGTCGACGGGAAATCATCCACATAGCCGTAACCCGCGCGTGAGAACTTAATTAATTAGACGTGCAACCGGCCGTGTCATGAAAAAGTCCTCACTTTTTGAGTATATTGTTTATAATTATTTGTCAAGAAATCATTAATTTATTTTTTATTAATATCTATTAAAAATTATTAAAAGAGCATTTACTAAGAATAAATTGTTTTAATTAAATTAACTAAATGATTGTGTAAACATATGCATAATTATATTTGAGAAAGTAAAACAAATTTTTTTTTTAATGTATGATGACGCAATGAAATTATCTTTATTTCAAGCATATTTTCAAAAAAGAATTTTAAGAAAGTGTTATAAATCGTGTTATAGATCAACAAGAAACCCTAAATGTCTTTTGGCTGCCTTGTTACATATGAGCTTTAATTACGAATGTACTTTGCCACTTCCATTAAAAGTTGTTTGTAACTTTAGAGCATATTAAGATATTAGATATACGAGCTAAGAGTTTATATGAGATTGCTCCGATCAACTTCCTTTTAATTTTGGATTTCTTGATGAGTTTTAAGTTAATTCTCAAATTTAATAAAAATTTATGAAAAAAAAATTTTGTAATATTAGATATTTCCGTTAGATGTAACGGGAAAAACGCCACGAACTTTTTCCCACACCTAATATATTGGAATATATTTAATCCTGAATAAAAGTAGTTATATGATGCTCCGATCTATCTTGTATTTCTTCCGAACATACGTCCTCGAAAAATACAGATAACCTCAATGCGGGAATGAAGCAGCAAATTCAAACTCTCTCTCATCTCTCTTGCTACCAATAATGGCAACAACAACAATTTCATTAATCAATTAATGACTTACTATTATATCACATTTGAAAAAGAGAATGCTTGAAATTAGATGCCTCCTTAACTAACGTTGTAATAAAGCACTGATTGATTTTGTTCGCTCGTGCCTATAGAATCAACAAAACGAGTCACTGTATATATATGTGTTTTTGGAAGCAGCTCTCCTTCCTTATCCCTCCTTCTCTATCCCCGATTGACGAACCCAAAGGTATATAGAGAGAGATAGGCAGAAAGAGAAAGAGAGAGAGAGAGAGAGAGAGAGAGAGAGAAAGCTCGCGATGGCCGCGCGATTCAATGCGTATAAAGGAATCGACTTTAAATCTGTGGAGCCCGCGAATGAAGGCTAACACAGGATAGAAGGGAAAGAGGAGATGGGATTGTCAGAGGTGGCAGTGGTAACAGCGACGGCGGCGGCAGCGGTGGCAACGGTAGAGAGTGCGGGGGCAGCGTTTTAGGTTTCTGGGTTCATCTCTCGACCCCTCGCTCATCGGCCCTCTCGGTCTCCTCTTCCTCCTCTTCCTCCCCCTCCTCCTCTTCCTCTTTCTCGACCCCACGAAGTTCGAAAAGGCTGCTGTGCGCGCGGCGCACGAATGTGGAACAGTAGGTCAGCGCACTCCGTGACCCCCGCCTGCCGCGGCCTACCCCTCCTCGGTGCATGCACCCTGATGCGATATGTACAGCCAACCGACCGAACCCCTCTTGTCCCAGTCTCCTCTGCACAGTCCCTATATTCAAGCGCTCTCGGCACCTTACTTCTTCCTTTTTGCTCCTTGCTTTCCCTCCTTCTCCTCCATCACTTGCAATAATCGTCTCATCCCGCGACCGATTACGTTTATATCGTAGGGATGAGTTTACGCGATTCAGTTCCGACGATCACCTCTCGACCAAAAGTGAGAAAAAGGTATAATATCCTGTACACAATGTTTTCCTGGGAAAACAATTACACTATAACAAAGGGAAGTAGAAGGAAAAATCAATTTTTCGTTATCAGTTCTGTTATCGTAATATTTGCCAATTGAAATTCATGAGATTCTCGATTATGCTGAAAGTGAGGGAAATTCTGCATTCCGGAAAAGATAATCATTCATGTTAAATGATGGTTGGAGATAGAGATAGTGCTTTACACTATTTGCAAGTTACTATTTATAGCACCCTTGATAAATCATCTAATAAATTAAGCGAAAAGAAAGATAAATCTTATATAAATAAATATCAATGTTGAACAATAAAAGATACGGGATGATTGCTATTCTCGTTCACTTGAAATAACTATTTGAACGTGAATTTGAACTCTATATATAATAATGATGTTGTAAGTAAATAGAATTTTTGCATAAATATATATTTTCACAGAAAAAAATGATAGAAACCAAATACTTTAAATAAAAGAAATTACATTTTTCATTCACGTTTAATAAGATGTATTTTAATTTTAGTCCCACTTTCCCCTACATTTGCTTCTTATCAAAATACAAATTTCCCTAAACATTTGCACTCTAGTTATAGCAAGCAATCGAGTTTATCTCGCTTCTCTGAATATTTCCTTGAATGTTTAATCTCATGTTGTTTATAAATTGATATCCTAAGATGTATAAGATAAGAAACTCTGAAGT